CTGAGGACACCCTGCCACAGATATGACTGACTGAAAAAGATGAGGCTAGCTGTTGTGTATAATGACCAACTCCCTACATCCTGGATGGACTGGTTAATGGCTACCCACAAACAAACATCCTGGCTGTACCAGATATCAAAATTCAGGGTGTTGGGGTTGAAACAGCAAATGTAACTTTAGAACCAAAAAAAAGAAATGGGAGCCAGGGAAAAACCCCCCCCCCCCCCTCCTGTATAGATGGTGTGCATAGACTCTGTGCCAAGTTCTTTATAAGTTCCAAACCTCCCCAGTCACTGGTGTTTTGTTTGAACTCGCAAGCTAAGTGTTTAGCCCTACCCCTGCCAATCTGGTCTAACACTGAGACAGCTTCCTTCCACCTCAAAAACATCACCCTGACTCAGCTCAGCAGCTGCCAAAGACCTCGTTGTTTCCTCCTTTCAAGGTTCGACCATTCCGATGATCTCTGGGTCAGTCTCTGCACTCCTTTTGTCTTAGATCAACTTAACTAAAGTTTTGCTGCGGACGTCTCTGTAAGGCCCTACCATACAGCAGCAGAATTAGGTCATTCAGCCCAATGAGCCTGCTCTGCTGATTGATCATGGCTGAGATGTTTCTCAACCCCAATCGCCTGCCTTCTCACTGTAACCCCTGATCCCCTTACTGATCAAGAACCTATCTGTCTCTGTCTCAAAGACATTCAATGGCTTAGCCTCCACAGCCCTCTGCGACAATGACTTCCACAGATTCACCACCCTCTGGCTGAAGAAATTCCTCCTCATTTCAGTTCTAAAGGGTCGTCCTTTCTCTCTGAGGCTGTACCATTGTGTCCTAGTCTCTCTTACTAGTGGAGACATCTTCTCCACATCCACTCTATCCAGGCCCCTCAGTCTTCTGTAAGTTTCAATCAGATCCCCCTGTCATTCTTCTAAACTCCAACGAGCACAGATCCAGAGTTCTCAAGCACTCCTCATATGACAAGACCTCCATCCCTGGGATCATTCTTGTAAACCTCCTCCAAGGCCAGCACATCCTTCATGAGATACAGGGCCCAAAACTGCTCTCAATATTCCAAAGGTGGTCTGACCAGAGCCTTATACAGCCTCAGCAGCAGATCTCTACCCTCGTGTTCTAGCTCTCTTAAAATGAATGCTAATGTTGCAGTTGCCTTCCTAACTGCCAAGTGAACCTGAATGTTAACCTTAAGATAATCCTGAAAGTCCTTTTGTGCTTCAGATTTCCAAAGACTTTCCATTTAGAAAATAGTCTATACCTCTACTCTTCCCACCAAAGTGCATAACCTCACACTTTCGCACATTGTCTTCCATTTACCACTTCTCTGTCCACTTGCATAGCATGTCCATATCCTTCTGCAAGGATTGGACATGCTCCCTCAACACAATCTGTCCCACCATCTATCTTTTTGTCATCTGCAAACTTAGCAACAATGCTCACTTCCTTCATCCAGATTGTTCCTGTATAACGTGAATAGTTATGGTCCCAACACTGACCCCTGCGGAACTCCATTAGTTATCGGCTTCCATCCTGAGAAAGACCCCCTTTTGTCCCCACTCTCTGCCTTCTGCCTTGCCTCTTATCACCATGGGCTCATCTTATTTGGCAGCCTCCTGTGCGGCACCTTGTCAAAAGCCTTTTGGAAATCCAAATAGATCATGTCGACTGTCTCGTTGTCTAATTTGCTCATTAACCCCCCTCAATTTTAACAGATTTGTCAGGCATGACCTCCCCTTGATGAAGCCATGCTGACTCAGCCCTATTTTGCCATGTACTTCCAAGTACGCTGCAATCTCATCCTTAATAATGGACTGTAAAATCTTACCAATGACTGAGGTCAGGCTAACAAGCCTATAGTTTCCTGTCTTCTGCCTCCTTCCTTAAATACTAATCTGCACAGGCTCCAGTTTAAGCCAAGTCGCGATTAACCTCAGCCATAAAACTCTCTGAGATATCTGCATGCCTCTAATTCTGGTCTGTTATGCATCCCTGATTTTCATCACATTATCCAGAACCTTCAGCAGTCTGATGCTGCAAAATCCCCTTCTGGGACTTCCACATTGCTCCTTTAAAACGCTCCTGACAATCACCTTATATAGGGTTTTCTGTTTTAAATTACTAACCTTCTAACAGTGCAGCACTCCCTTGGTGCTGACCCTCCAACGGTGCGGAACTCTCCCAGCACTGTCCCTACTCAGACTGGGGCATCAGTTTGGGAGTAATACCTGGAACCTAGAAATCACCTGCTGCGGGGAATGTGTGTGCTGGTCTCAGAAATACTGCCAGTATAATCAGGCGTGTTCCTCATCCAACTCATGACATACAGTGGACAACATGATCGAGTGAAGTGTTATGTAGTGTTAACATATAAAAGCATTGCGTGAGATTTTCTCGTCAATAATATTCTACATTTACTCCATTTTCCTGCAAAATTTCCTTGAAAAGGTGGAAGTTTGAAATCATTCTTGGCCTTGAATCCACAGCTGTCTGAAATGGACAGATCCAGCATCCCACCTGGGTTGGAGACCTTTCTGCTGATATCTTTCAGAAATGGATGACCTCTTCATCCCTGAGACTCTGATCCTGTGGAGTGGATAGGGGATGGGGAGTGAGGATTGTTTGCCCTTAATGTTTTCTCCAACCCTTCACAAAGCTTCTTGGAGCCTCTTGTGATTGCTCCTTGGGCCTTCTAAATGTCCAGAGAGTTCAAGCCTGTTCTTAGAGCCATACAACACAGAAACAGACCCTTCAGTCCAATTAGCCCATGCTAACCATAATTCCAAATGATACTAGTCCCACCTACCTGCTCCTGGCCTGTATACCTCCAAAGTCTTCCTATTCATGTACTCATCCAAATGTCTTTTAAACTTGGTAATTGTTCCTACATCCTCCACTTCCTCAAGAAGTTCATTCCACGCGTGAACCACCCTCTGTTTGAAAAATTTGCATTTGCCCCTCGTCTTTTTTTGAAATCTGTCTCCTCACCTCAAGAATGTACCCCCTACTCTTGAAACCCCTCATCCTAGGGAAAGAACTGCCACCATTAACCCTATCTATACCCCTCATTGATTTATAAACTTCTGTAAGGTCACCTCTCAACCTCCTACTCTCCAGTGAAAATAGTCCCAGCCTTTCTTTATAACTTGCCTTCACTTCCTCTGGCAGCTCACTCCATGCATGCACCACATCTGCATGAAACAGTTGCCCCTCTCACCTTAACCCTGTGCCGTCTAGATTTGGACTCCCCTATCCTGGGGAAAAGACCTTGGCTATTCACCTTATTTCTGTCCCTCGTGATTTTATAAACTTCTGCCCTTGGGGTTGATCCAGCTGCAGTTTGTAATAGATCTGTAAGTACAAGGCACCCAGAAACTTCAGAGTGGACAAGCTGGAAACATTTCGCTTTTTGTCCCTTCTCTGTGTGAGTGAAAAGATAGAAAAACCAAGAAACTTGAAAAAAGGAAAGAACTATATCAGTTGCATCAAATATTGAAGAACAGCCATCGCTTTATAGACCACAGCATGTCATGATTGCTTGCATCAAAAAGAACTGAGAGAGATGATTTAGATTAAATCCGGATATTTCATCCTCAGAATCTTGTTTACCACTGTCTACATTTCTCCACCTGGATGCACTGTTTTCCTCCCACAGTCCAGGGATGTGCAGGTTAGGGTGGACTGGCCGTGCTAAATTGTCCCGTAGTGCCCAGGAATGTGCAGGTTAGGGTGGATTGGCCGTGCTAAATTGTCCCATAGTGCCCAGGGATGTGCAGGTTAGGGTGGATTGGCCGTGCTAAATTGTCCCATAGTTCCCAGGGATGTGTAGGTTAGGGTGGATTGGCCATGCTATATTGTCCCATAGTGCCCAGGGATGTGCAGGTTAGGGTGGATTGGCCGTGCTAAATTGCCCCATAGTGCCCAGGGATGTGCAGGTTAGGGTGGATTGGCCGTGCTAAATTGCCCCATAGTGCCCAGGGATGTACAGGTTAGGGTGGATTAACCATGGGAAATGCAGGATTACAAGGATAGGTTAGGAGGGGTGTGAGTCTGGGTGGGATGCTTTTCAGAGGGTCAGTGTGGGCTCGATGGGTCGAATGGCCTGCTTCCACACTGTAGGGATTCCGTGATTTTATAATATTTGTGTCAATTCATAGTCGGCAAACATCCTGGTAAATCTCTTCTCTCCAGCTTCCTATAACTGGGCAACCAAAACTCCAGAAGAGGCCTCACCAACATCCTGTACAGCCTCAACGTGACTTCCCAACTCCCGTACTCAAAGGACTGAGCAATGAAGGCAAGCGTGCTAACCGCCCTTTTCTTTACCTTGAAGGAATTTTGGTCTTGCAAATTTGGCGGCAAGTTTCTGGGTGCTGTCTTTTACCCTCTTGACGGCTGCGGAGGGAGGATGGGCCGAGAGTTTGGGAGAGCCGTGAGGGAGCTGGGGGTGGGGGGGG